TGCCGCAGTAACTATTAGTCCAAATTACCTAATACAGTAAATTGGACACAAATTGGACAATCGGACAAGGGGTATTTTGACAGATTTGCCAACACTGCTTACCACCCAAGTGATAATAGCACGGAAGAAAAAAGGAAACAAATTGACCCCTATAAAATCTGTTGGTAATTCACATGATCCAACTTCAAAAAGTCGGTAAGTACCTAAAAGAAAAATATAACTGATGTTCAATACTAGATACCCAAATGAGATATATCATCACCTTGGTTAACTGAATGTTTAGATATACCTAAGAAATCCATAAAGTAAAAGCCAAGATTCAAGCCATAACTCTGAACCATGTATACTCGAAAATTTTCTGGCAATACTCTCTTTGATTTTACTTCTGATATAACAACAAAATTTAACATGTCCTTTCCTGCTCGTGCATTTTGAATATAATCTGCAATTTCTTTGTCAAAATCAACATTGTAAGGTTTGCTTCCTTCTGTCACACAGAATTCATAATGCTTTTCATTTGTTGTATATGCTATTCCAGGGTTGGCAAATTGACTGGTCCATTGAAAACAGATGGATTTGGACTGGTCCATTGTCATTAATAAAATACTAAATATGGTTAAAGTGTTACACTAATGGACCCAATGGACCACCAATAGACCATCAATGGACCACACATTTGCCAACCCTGTGCTATTCCATCTGAACGGTCTGCATTCCCTTTTTGATTCATTATTGATTCTGTAGTATGAAGCATCAATGGCCTTATTCCCCCCTAAAAATAAGAACATGAGAATAGTTACATAAATTATTACATTAACATGAAATGACAAGAATGAAACAGTCCCTACGAAACAGTGAATTCCTGAAAAGTGAGCAAGTGCCTTTTTTAAAACTAGGTGTATGTATGTATTCATAAACTCATCTTCTAACATTTCATGATCCTTAAGAGGATTATCATGCAATTGTTCAAATACATCAAAACTAAAGGTAAACTATTAATTTTAGTAAAGCGGGATTCTATTTAAATATACTTACAATATTGGTAGTATTTCAAACATAAATCTTTTCAATTTCTTTAAGAAAGGATCTTCTTCTGGCACTAATAAAGTTTCTAACTTATCCTGCCATTTTTGATAATTGCATCCCTGTTAAAAAACAAAAACAAGAATCCATATGAATAGTTAACAAAAAAATTTTAATTTACCACAAGATAATAAACAACAATACCTCTGAAAAAACTCAGAAAGAAAATAGAAGCCTTTGTCTGGAAATAACTTGTCAACAGGTTCAAAAACTTCCTTCAAAACTT